GGCTTGGTGGGTTCGGTTTAGGATTTAGCGCTTTTCTGGTGCACACCAGTGGCGTCACTCTCTTTAGGGCTCGGTCGGCTCGACTTTATCACATCGGTACGGAGTAATTAAGAGTTGTGTTGTAACTTCTGTTTCTGTTCACCCGGATGTTGTGGTGTTATTGATGAAGTACCCCGTGTGAACCTCAATACCCTTGGTGACCTTGTTGTATAAGGCATCCTGGGAAAAACAGGGGGAGCTTTCATCTTTCTGTAAATCCTTTGTGGCGCAAGCATGCCATCACCAATATTGTAGCTTCAACAGCTCCCCCAGTCCTGCGGCTGAACCCTACAACTCAGCGCTGGCGCTTTTTGAGGAGAATTTCTTCATGTTGGTTCCGAAACGCAGTTCTTGTCTTGTCTGATGGATGTCCCGGCGGCAGCACACATGATTAGGCCGTACGCGGGAAGAGCTCGGCTTTAGGTAGGGGCATCCCAACCAACCTCAAGCCGAGAGCTATTTTGGGCATACTATACTATACTAGACCCTAAACTGTGGGACTTGGGTGAACCATGATAAACCGAACGCGCACCAAGAACCTCGTCTGGATTGTCCGAGTTGCGAGAGCGTAAACCCTAGACCTTTCTAATTGTCTGCCCAGGCCCATGGCAAAGCATCTGGTTGGAGGAGCCAGGGAAGCAGAATTGACATAGGGGCCTCTACAACTAGAGTGTCATGGTGTCTTGCAGCTAGGAGTCGATGGGGCTTCAGTCCATGATCTTGTTATGTGTCTCAGAACGTTTGATGCCGGGGGCGTAATCATAAGACTATAGGGTTTTGGGGTATAGTAGCCTATATTCATACATAGGCACTGCAAGCAGAACCACAGAAGCAGATTTTAGATTTCAGGTTGCAGAAGTTGCCCAGGCCTGTAATATAGGGGTCAGAGCAATTCAAGGTAAGGTCGCATTTTCATCCCTGTTTAAAGTATGGCAGAATATGACCACAAACTCCTATTCGAATAGTTTCGGCCCCTGCAGTAGGCCCGCGAGTGTCAAGCCACAACAAAACACTCGTTTAAAAACGCTTAAACGGTTCAAGGTTTCAGAGAGAGGGTCCACGATTTACGCTCTGAGGTGTAGAGTTTCGGACTCAGTGGGGTCCGCAGATCACACGGCCAGCAACAGTGCCCGAGCTAAACCCTAAACCCTAAACCCCTAGCCCAACCCTAACAAACCCAGGACCGGCCCTTATAAGTACCTTAATTAGGGTTATAAGTAGCTATAACTATAGATACTTTACTTATAACCCTACTTGCTAAGTGCCATCCACCCACCCACAAACAACATTGCCACTTCAACTCAGGGGAATCTTCCAGGCTGATGAAAGGTTTTAAGTTTCCAGAACTGCTGGTTTGAAATCTCGAGTGCCCGACCTTCACACCTCGCAGTTCTTATAAGTTTCTGCGATGCTGAAACTTTAAACATGAAGTCATGAGGTTTATTTGGGGATCTGCGTGTGTGTGTGTGTGTGTGTGTGTGTGTGTGTGAGTGTGTGTGGGGGGACCCCAAACTACAACGGGATGCAGAGTACTTTGAGATCAGAAATTCTTGCAGGGGGCCATTCAGCCTTGCTATCAGGGAATGGCCAACGAAGAGCCTGATAGCAAGGTGCTGTAACGTACCTGCAGGGGGACCGAAACCATATCCCCGATGTGCCAGGGACGGAACCCAATCCCTACTACTTGGCACTTTGAACGTTTTATGCCCTGCCTGGACATCGCACTTTGACCGTGGCAGTGGCAGCCATTCTCTATGTCTGGCTCCGGGGACAGAAACCCATCCCCACATTATAATGCCAGGGACAGGACCCTTATCCCTACTACTCGACATTTGAGATGCATCTTGGCTTATTTTCTATTAAACAGCAGCAAGGGAACCCAAGCCTACTGAAGACCTCTGGCAAAGCTTTCTTTTTGAAGTGTCTCAGCTGAGTTTTGAACTCATTGCTGAGTGAAGCAGACCACTGAAGAACGTTTTACCAGGGTAACCTGGGTGTTCAAGTGTGAAATGGGCATGGCCTTATCCGTCACGGCGCCATTACCGCTGCTCTCGAGGCAGTATCCCTTGAAACAGTGCCCCGAGTGGGACGGGTGATCCTTGGCTAGGTCTGCAACAGGCCCCAAACATTAACAGATCGGAAAGTATATGCTGAGGACGGAAAGTGTCGATCTTGAAATTCATGTTGAAATGCTTCTCGAAATTCATCTTGAAATCTTTCTTGAAGACCATGTTGAGCTTTGCGTAACTCGTCTAATGCGCTAGGGTAACACGGCTAACGCACAGGAACCTGGGCTTTTATTAAGTTTTCTTCTTGTTTAAGTTTTCTTTTTGGTCTTTTTCCCTAGGCCCCTAAGCCCCTAAGTGTGATGCTCTGAACCTTGGCTGCATTCATCAAAATTGTGCGTTTGTCCTTGTCTTTTCTTTTCTTTTTTTCCCCTAAGCCTCTTTTTGCCCCTAAACTTCTAAAGTACTGTTGTGAGCCTTGGCTGCACTCATCATCTTTTGTGGTTTCCTTTGTTTTCGTTTTCGTTTTTCCCTTTGCTATTTAGTGTGCTGTTCTTAACCTTGGGTGGGCTCTTTTCGTGTGTGCTTCCGGCTGCAACAGTTAGTGTCCTCCGAAGGAGGTTAGTGTGTGTGGGGACCCCAAACTACAACGGGGCAGACGACTTCAGCAACACAGACGATTTCAGTGCAGGGGCCTGCACGCATCGACATCACTTCAGACATCTACGGTGTCGGGCTTGCAGGGACTTACTTCGCTGCAGAGCACTACGGCGTCGGGCTTGCAAGGATTCACTTCAATTCAAGCTCCTACGGTGTCGGGCTTACATATATATATATATATATGTATACAAGGACCTACTTCATTGCAAAGTTCTACGGTGACAGAAGCTATAGCTATGATTCCTATTTATCGGCAGAGGAGCCAAAACAGTCGCGCCCCTCCATCGGAGGTCAGTGTGTGTGGGGACCCCAAACTACAACGGGATGCAGAGTACTTTGAGATCAGAAATTCTTGCAGGGGGCCATTCAGCCTTGCTATCAGGGAATGGCCAACGAAGAGCCTGATAGCAAGGTGCTGTAACGTACCTGCAGGGGGACCGAAACCATATCCCCGATGTGCCAGGGACGGAACCCAATCCCTACTACTTGGCACTTTGAACGTTTTATGCCCTGCCCGGACATCGCACTTTGACCGTGGCAGTGGCAGCCATTCTCTATGTCTGGCTCCGGGGACAGAAACCCATCCCCACATTATAATGCCAGGGACAGGACCCTTATCCCTACTACTCGACATTTGAGATGCATCTTGGCTTATTTTCTATTAAACAGCAGCAAGGGAACCCAAGCCTACTGAAGACCTCTGGCAAAACTTTCTTTTTGAAGTGTCTCAGCTGAGTTTTGAACTCATTGCTGAGTGAAGCAGACCACTGAAGAACGTTTTACCAGGGTAACCTGGGTGTTCAAGTGTGTGTGTCTGTGTCTGTGTGTGTGTGTGAGTGTGTGTGTGTGTGTGTGTTGTTTACACCGTTTTGTGGATTTGGATGGCGGAAAAGTGCACGGTGTTTGAGCCCTACAGCCCCTGTTGCCCGTGGTTTCAGGGTTTGAGATAGCAGCATCCTGAGCGTCAGTGGTTTCTGACAGCAGTCGTTTGGAGTCAGCGTGCCAGCACGTCCCTGACCTAATTATCCTAATTTTGCACAGCACACTATCCGACACTACCGACACCTGCTTGCTCTTTTGGCGGGTGTAATACATGTTAGATGATGGTTGGCAGTTTATAAGACTAGTAGGAGCCTACAGCAAGTCGTTTGTGGTAGTCTGCAGGGCTTGGATGCGATTAGAGCCCAGGTCTCTTAAAGTCATCGAAGCCATCTGCATTCAGAAAGCTGAATCTTCGTTGTCACGTACTACGCGTTCTTCCGAGCTTACCGCCATCCTCAGTGCGAAACCCGTAAAGAGGAAACCGTGAATGTAAGAGCCCAGGCCTTCTAATATAGGGGCCATAACTACCTATACATGTTTTTTTTGTTTTTTTTGCGGGGGGGTCCTTAATATAATTATGGGCTCATGGGCCCCAAACCCTATTCTAATCATTATAAGGCCCCTAGGTTTAAGTAAAGAAAGTTGCAGGATGCCCACTCTGGCTCCACAAGCGACAAGACCGCAGCCCAAGCTCATGAGGCCCTAAACCTGAAATGGAATCTCCTAATTTAGGGATTAGAGAATATGTAAATTTAAAATTCCTATTTCCGGGCATTCAAGCATCCACAACCCGACGTTCATTAGATCCCAACACAAGCCTCAAACATAGAACAAGTTCATGAGACCCAAACCTAGACCCTAAATTGCAACAAACCCCCAGAAACCTTGAGCCCCAAACTTCCGAGGAGCATTCCAAGTAACCGAATGGGCAGAAAGAAAAGAGGGCTCAAAAAAAAAATCTTCCGAGGAGGCTCCCGAAGGCTGCCTCATTGCATCTGCTGCAGCCGAGCTTTTGGCCTCTAGGCATCGGTTTTACAGGTCTCAGGGATTAGGGGAGCCCTTATGGGGGGAGGGGGGGGGGGCATTATTTATGCTGTACCTGAACCCCAAATAACCCACCTTTTTAAGGACTTATATAAGGAAATCATAATAAGGAACCCTAAAAAGGTAGGTTCTTCAGGGTTAAGGTAATGGTGTACGGGGGCTCTAGGGTTCCGTGGCTTTGCGGATAAGGCGGGGGGCACAGCGACAGGTGGGAGTTCGGTTCTGTGTACGGTCCATTGTATCCGGTGTCCGTCTGTTCTAGGACGGTTTAGCGTGCTAGAACGTTTCTAGTTGCTCCTGTCGAGGATTGAGGGCTGGAGGCTCCACTGCTTTGAACCGTCACGTTGGGTTTTACTTCCAGCTCCTAACTTAGGCTGGGTGTCTAGACTGCAAGCGGTAACGTACACGACCCTCCTCGGCCATGCTGTATTTGCAGACGGTTCTCCGACGAATGGTGACGGACCTTGAGTTTTTGGAATAGGGCAGGAAGTACACAGAGTTTGGGAGTTCGACTTTCTTGCCGCTTGTTTGATGCTCAGGATGAGAAGCGCATCAGATTCGAGGCGCGTGGCTGGCGCAAGCATTCATTAATCGAAGCCTTCTTAGCCTTCTTCAACAGCTTTGACAGCCTCGGGCGTGGAGTGATCTACGAGTCGAGATGTAGCGATGTGACAAGATCAGCAGAGCTGCGTCTCAGAATTCATCATGAGCCCTGATTTTGACTCATTAGACTCTTATCTCAAACTTGGCAGGGTCGTGAATCTTCCTTTTTGGAGCTGCGGACGCAATCCGCAGTCGCACTATAAGGGGGCGCTGAAAAAAGCCCCAAATCCTAATCGCCCGGCGAACTCTAAGAGTTGCTTCTGTACTTTCTGTAGTTTCTGGCCCCACACGGCTTGTGGACTCGGCGCTCAAGCCAGCTGAGATTCACAGAGTGCCTGCCGTCGTCACGCTGCCCTCCTCGGCATTTCCTCCACCATGGCAGCCGCCGACAGGACCAGGGGTGGTGCTTTGATTGAGTCTCAGGCGGAGCAGGGCTTGAAACTCTTGAAGGCCACGGAGGCTTCCGGTGCAGAGTACGACGTCACTGCCGCGGAAGCATACCGGAAAGCCGTTGACGCCCAGATCGCGAAGCTGGAGATGGAGGCCACGCAGCTCACCGGCAAGGACAACAAGAAGGAGCGCTCCGCCAAGGGCAAAGAGGTGGCTGACTTGAAGAACGAGCACAAGTATGTGGATGCATGCAAGATCGTGAAGGGTTTGGACCCGAAGTTTGGCTTCTTCATCACGAAGGAAGCCGCGCGCCCCGAGATCGCAGTCGCAGAGCCCACTCCGGAAGCTGTCGAGACAAAGCCGAAGAAGGAGCCTAAGAAGGAGAAGAAAGCCGATAGCGCAGGGCTGAGCCACGACGAGATGAAGGAGCTCGAGGATCTGAAGCAGAAGATCATCGAGGAGAAGGCCATTCTTAAAGAAGAGGGCCTCAGCGGGGGACAGATCAACAAGCACGAGAAGATCGTGGCGATGGTCACCCGATTGAACGAGCTCAAGGAGAAGCAGGATCCAGGAAGCTCCAAGAAGGAAAAGGACGCCAAGAAGGACTCCAAGAAGAAGACGCCCTTGAGTGCAGAAGAGCAGAAGGAGTACGCCCAGCTTCAGGGCGACATCGAGGTCTACAAGGCCAAGCTGCGAAACGAGTTCGGCTACAGCAACAAGGACATGAAGGCAGATCCGGACTTGAAGGACATGGAGGCTCGGCTTGCGGCCTTCGAGAAGCGCAGCTGATGAGGCTGATGGTCGAATTCAGTCCTGCCAGCGGCGGTGCACCACGCAAAAAACCTGTGTGATGCATTTGCTGGTCGGGACAAGTGTGTATATATATATATATATGTATATATATGTAAGTATGTATGTGTATATATATATATATATGCATGGATGGATGTTTTGAGCCTTCTGTGCAAGGGTAAGCGCTGTGGGACTGACCGCCCAACGAAGCATGATGCAACTAGCCACAGCGTGATGGGAACAGATCTTGGCTTGACGTTTCGTTTCGTCCCATAGCATACACCTCTACTCTACACGTAGCTGGCAATCGTTTGGCTGTATCGGTGCAGCCCAGAAGAGGAACTGCATCAACGGGCTTCGCCAGGCCCAACAGTTTGTGATCTTTAAAGGGGATGGAGTGTAGACCTCGTCATTGTTTGGCCACGTCGCGAATACGACCATTAGCCCGCAGCTCGACACAGTCAGGTCGCGTTTCGTGCATTCCATCCCTGAGATTTCAAGTTTTCTAAATGTTCCTGGTTCGTCGCCATGGCTGCACGCAATTTCACAGCTCAAGTCCCGTCGTAGCACTAGTACAGTTCTCGCTGCCAGCCGTGCGCGTGGCGATTAACCATAGCTCTCGCATGCTAGCAAGCCATCGCAAAGTCTCCTTTGCAAGAAATGCTGCAGATGGCTTGGTCCGCGGGTCACTCGGGGGATAAGATAGTGAGTCGAGGAGGGTGAAGGCGAATTCACGACGCTGAAATTTGATATGTGCCGTGTTTCTGGATGTTATGGGCGCTTGGCACCTAGTCTTCATGAGTGCAGCCGAAGTTTGGCGGTCATACAGCATGGTCTAAACCTGCGTGCCTAGTGCGGTAGACCATCGCTGAAGGCTTCAGAGCTCTTTGTGCGTTTTCTTGGATGGCTCCTCCTGCTTGGCCCCAGCTCAAGCCAGCTGAGATTCACAGAGTGCCTGCCGTCGTCACGCCTCCTCGGCATTCCCTCCACCATGGCAGCCGCCGACAGGACCAGGGGTGGTGCTTTGATGGAGTCTCAGGCGGAGCAGGGCTTGAAACTCTTGAAAGCCACGGAGGCTTCCGGTGCAGAGTACGACGTCACTGCCGCGGAAGCATACCGGAAAGCCGTTGACGCCCAGATCGCGAAGCTGGAGATGGAGGCCACGCAGCTCACCGGCAAGGACAACAAGAAGGAGCGCTCCGCCAAGGGCAAAGAGGTGGCTGACTTGAAGAACGAGCACAAGTATGTGGATGCATGCAAGATCGTGAAGGGTTTGGACCCGAAGTTTGGCTTCTTCATCACGAAGGAAGCCGCGCGCCCCGAGATCGCAGTCGCAGAGCCCGCTCCGGAAGCTGTCGAGACAAAGCCGAAGAAGGAGCCTAAGAAGGAGAAGAAAGCCGATAGCGCAGGACTGAGCCACGACGAGATGAAGGAGCTCGAGGATCTGAAGCAGAAGATCATCGAGGAGAAGGCCATTCTTAAAGAAGAGGGCCTCAGCGGGGGACAGATCAACAAGCACGAGAAGATCGTGGCGATGGTCACCCGATTGAACGAGCTCAAGGAGAAGCAGGATCCAGGAAGCTCCAAGAAGGAAAAGGACGCCAAGAAGGACTCCAAGAAGAAGACGCCCTTGAGTGCAGAAGAGCAGAAGGAGTACGCCCAGCTTCAGGGCGACATCGAGGTCTACAAGGCCAAGCTGCGAAACGAGTTCGGCTACAGCAACAAGGACATGAAGGCAGATCCGGACTTGAAGGACATGGAGGCTCGGCTTGCGGCCTTCGAGAAGCGCAGCTGATGAGGCTGATGGTCGAATTCAGTCCTGCCAGCGGCGGTGCACCACGCAAAAAACCTGTGTGATGCATTTGCTGGTCGGGACAAGTGTGTAGATATATATATATATATATATATATATATGTATGTATGTATGTATGTATGTATGTATGTATGTATATATATATATATATATATACATGGATGGATGTTTTGAGCCTTCTGTGCAAGGGTAAGCGCTGTGGGACTGACCGCCCAACGAAGCATGATGCAACTAGCCACAGCGTGATGGGAACATATCTTGGCTTGACGTTTCGTTTCGTCCCATAGCATAGACCTCTACTCTACACGTAGCTGGCAATCGTTTGGCTGTATCGGTGCAGCCCAGAAGAGGAACTGCATCAACGGGCTTCGCCAGGCCCAACAGTTTGTGATCTTTAAAGGGGATGGAGTGTAGACCTCGTCATTGTTTGGCCACGTCGCGAATACGACCATTAGCCCGCAGCTCGACACAGTCAGGTCGCGTTTCGTGCATTCCATCCCTGAGATTTCAAGTTTTCTAAATGTTCCTGGTTCGTCGCCATGGCTGCACGCAATTTCACAGCTCAAGTCCCGTCGTAGCACTAGCACAGTTCTCGCTGCCAGCCGTGCGCGTGGCGATTAACCATAGCTCTCGCATGCTAGCAAGCCATCGCAAAGTCTCCTTTGCAAGAAATGCTGCAGATGGCTTGGTCCGCGGGTCACTCGGGGGATAAGATAGTGAGTCGAGGAGGGTGAAGGCGTTTCAGACGACGCTGAAATTTGATATGTGCCGTGTTTCTGGATGTTATGGGCGCTTCGCACCTAGTCTTCATGAGTGCAGCCGAAGTTTGGCGGTCATACAGCATGGTCTAAACCTGCGTGCCTAGTGCGGTAGACCATCGCTGAAGGCTTCAGAGCTCTTTGTGCGTTTTCTTGGATGGCTCCTCCTGCTTGGCCCCAGCTCAAGCCAGCTGAGATTCACAGAGTGCCTGCCGTCGTCACGCTGCCCTCCTCGGCATTCCCTCCACCATGGCAGCCGCCGACAGGACCAGGGGTGGTGCTTTGATGGAGTCTCAGGCGGAGCAGGGCTTGAAACTCTTGAAAGCCACGGAGGCTTCCGGTGCAGAGTACGACGTCACTGCCGCGGAAGCATACCGGAAAGCCGTTGACGCCCAGATCGCGAAGCTGGAGATGGAGGCCACGCAGCTCACCGGCAAGGACAACAAGAAGGAGCGCTCCGCCAAGGGCAAAGAGGTGGCTGACCTGAAGAACGAGCACAAGTATGTGGATGCATGCAAGATCGTGAAGGGTTTGGACCCGAAGTTTGGCTTCTTCATCACGAAGGAAGCCGTGCGCCCCGAGATCGCAGTCGCAGAGCCCACTCCGGAAGCTGTCGAGACAAAGCCGAAGAAGGAGCCTAAGAAGGAGAAGAAAGCCGATAGCGCAGGACTGAGCCACGACGAGTTGAAGGAGCTCGAGGATCTGAAGCAGAAGATCATCGAGGAGAAGGCCATTCTTAAAGAAGAGGGCCTCAGCGGGGGACAGATCAACAAGCACGAGAAGATCGTGGCGATGGTCACCCGATTGAGCGAGCTCAAGGAGAAGCAGGATCCAGGAAGCTCCAAGAAGGAAAAGGACGCCAAGAAGGACTCCAAGAAGAAGACGCCCTTGAGTGCAGAAGAGCAGAAGGAGTACGCCCAGCTTCAGGGCGACATCGAGGTCTACAAGGCCAAGCTGCGAAACGAGTTCGGCTACAGCAACAAGGACATGAAGGCAGATCCGGACTTGAAGGACATGGAGGCTCGGCTTGCGGCCTTCGAGAAGCGCAGCTAATGAGGCTGATGGGCGAATTCAGTCCTGCCAGCGGCGGTGCACCACGCAAAAAACCTGTGTGATGCATTTGCTGGTCGGGACAAGTGTGTAGATATATATATATATATATATATATAGTATGAGCCTTCTTTGCAAGGGTCACGAATGCCGTGGG